CTGACGTAGTGTGAATATCTGATCTATACAACCACGTCCAGGTCGAAAACCAGCCTGATTTTCTCTAGTCTGCTCTTCACGAGCTTTGGTTAGGCGTCGAAGTATTATTGAAGCTAATATTTTAGACACTATATTAGTCAAACTGATTCCTCTGTGATTGTCACAAGAGGACTTTTGTCCTTTCTTATAGACTGGCACAATCAGTGATTGAGACCAGTCAGATGGGATTACGTCCAGTTCCCAAATTCTACCTAAGACCTCAGTTAATCTCACTGCTAATACTGGACCACCATCCTTAAAAATCTCAGGAGTAAACCTGTCAGGGCCTGCTGCTCTCCCTCGTTTCAGATTTCCTATGGCTTTTTCAACTTCGTAAAGGGACGGAGGACCTACATTAACTTGCCATTCAGGTTGACTAGAGATCGTGGGAAACCGAAGTGTGGCTGAAGGCCAGTTGAACTGATCCCTAAAGTGTTCTGCCCATCGATCCAATCTCCTGGATTGAGAATGAATAATATGTCCATCTTTCTCTGAGATTGTTTCGCTAACGGTCGCGTTCCTAATTCCGGTTTCCTTAACGAGTCTGAACAATTGTCTGCTATTACCTATTGCCGCTGCCTTTTCCATCTCTCTTGCTTTCGCTACCCACCACTGTTCGTGATCATTGCGTAGACTTCTTGTCAGCTTGCGCTTAAGCTGACTCCGCTCTTCATTATGTTCAGAGCCAGGTGGAACGAGTTTCCGAGCATCTATCAGTGCGATAGATGATGCTGAAATCCAGTGTTGCTCCCTAACCTTACGGGTTACCGTACTAGCAGATATCACTGCTGTCATCACGATAGGCAAGCTCGACCACCGCGTCAAGGTAGTAGCTTCGGTCGGGAGATTCGAGAAGATATAAATTAGTGAAATAAAAACAAAAAAGGGTATGGGAAATTTAGAATCTCAGGATTTGGGAAGTGACAAAGAATAGATGCACCTGCGCCACTGAAAATGATTTTGAGCCATTTCAATCAAAGTCTTTAACCGTTGGTTACGATAATCACGTGGATACTAACCAGGTAGTTTATACTTACCAACGTGGCTAAGTCCAATTGGTTCGACCATCACTAACTTTCTTTCAGCCCACTCCTACACCAGAAAACATCGCCCTTCGCGGTAGGCGGTGGTTGAACAAACGTAACATATATTCCAACCACCTCAATTGATGAAGATTTACTACCTTATCAATCAGTTCCCCATCTTTACCCAGTGCTCTATTCCTAACTTAGGCATTGCTTACGCCGTCGTCCCAAAAGACACCTAAGATCGAATACCAGTAACTTACGAATATCCCCTATTCTTAATGGCCATGTTTCCCATCCAAAAAGTAAGACGGAGAGAACTGCTGCCCAGTAAACTCGCTCTTTGGTTAGAGGAAGGTTATGTTGCCTACGCCACAAGTGACGCAATTTGGTAAAGCCAATCGGGCCTTCTGAATCTATGCCGATGTTTTGTCAGACACCACACCATCAGTACTGATGAGACTCCCGAAATAAGTAAAAACATAAGAGATACAGTTTAAAAAATCTTCATTGTAGCCACAACAGCAAATGCACATGTGGACGGCCGTGAAAACAACCTAATCACAGTATTTTGACTGAAGAATTTCAAGTGTATACCAGTGAATAAATCACTATACTGGTTTAAAGCTTTTTTAAAGTTGTCGAAATATAAATCAATACACAGGGATCACTAACCAGTGAACACATTAAATATTATTTTCAAGCATCAAACCACCAGGTTTAGCTAAAAGCTGATTGATGGAGAGTTTAGTGACTGATATGTTTAATTTGAACAAAACAATGAGCGATTTTATACCATTCACAAGGTAACCTACCAATGCACTTATTGTATCTGAACTTTTTTGACATTTCAACAATAGGTTCATTTTTATTTGAGTAATGATAATTCATGTTTCTTCGTCTAGCCGAATAATAAAACTTGAGTGATAGTTGACGTCAAATAAAGCTTATAATATACACATAAGATATGAAATAGATACTGCCAACAACAACTTACATTTTAACACTAGCCATTTAATACCAATATAGTAACAGAGGGATGAAAGACTTACGCATAGGAAAATTGGTCGATATTTGTGCATAGCAATTTAGTGGGAGACCACATGATGGGAGCGTCTGTTTCAAATATAAAATGGAATTTGCAGCCATAACTACGACTCCACCTAAAAAACAAGAAACCATTTCAGTTAATGCATCATACGTAGTGTAAACGATGAGTAAATCAAAACATGCCAAATTAAGTCACATAAACACCGGTGCAATCTAAGCATTCCCATTAATTACATTAAATACTACATCAAGTCAAAAAATGTCCTGGTAGTTGAATGAACCAAATGCTTTACATTACTAACATTAGACTTCTAAAAGATAACAATTTCATCAAGTGAATTTCCAAAAAGCTTGAGAGTTGATCTCCTCAACTTTCGTTCAACAAATTGCTTTATTCATTATCATGAAAGCAGTTTTTCAAGTACATCGACCACTGAGATTTATATCCAGTTAGTCAGTTATAGATAGCACGAATATGCGTCAAACCAAGCTGATATACTGATAAGATAAAACTAATAAACGAATGGCCAGAGTTGAAATACTAGTGTATAAACGATATCAAAACTGAGCACTGAAGAATACAGTTCAAATTGAAGTAATAAACAGTACCAAATAATATTGAAGTTCAAGACTCAGAGGAATACACAGAGTGATTACATTTTTGTCACCGTGAATGACTGTTAGTCATGTCGCCCAATGTCTCCAACCATTTATTGTGTTCACTGCGTAGATCCCAGTGTAGTAGTCTAAACATATCAAAACAGTTTAGACCAACAGTCTATGAGTACATGGATTGGTGTCAGATATTGGTTTGACAGCCTCTAGCTTCCTCTCAACTAGCTTGAACCCTAACCAAATCGACCATCGAAGTACAGAGTATTTGGACATATATATTACATGTCGCAGTTATCTCAGCCGATGAAGATTTACGGTTTCATTAACTGATTTCCCATCTTTCCTTAGTATCCTATGCCTAACATCATCATTGATCACTTTTTGGTCAAACCATAGGCAAGCAATATTTAGAAGATATGCGATCAAAAACATGTAGCCCAATTATGTATTGGATTTTCGCAGGTCATATTTTACAACCACAGTAATACAGAGTGGGTTCCTAGGCACCACTTGGTCATAATGACATTAAATGGTGTTCTTCAGGGTTATCCGCTTTCCTTGTTTTTTAAGTTACCTTATTTAAACACATTCCTTTGGAAATAACTCCTTTGTCTGACTTAATAACTTTCCCTCTCTATATCATGTCCTTTTATATACAGTCTTTTTGTTATATATTACTACCATTGAAGTAACTGCTTCTATGAATTTGGGGTTCGTTTTGTTGTGCTAATGGGGTACAGCAACTTGGACCGATGTATATATGTGCCTAGTCCTACGTTTTAGATGACTGACTCGTGAATAGAATAGATAGAAGTGTAACTGTAGAAATGACACTAATGACAATAAGCGTAAAATGGTTCTTCTGTAAGCTCAGTTTGATAATTTAACTTTACAAGCAAATACAGCTTGACAGTGCTACAAGTATGGACGAAATGTCTTACCTATCGGTTGAGGTACAGAAATGACTGAACGACAGTCAAATGGTAGAGATTCTTGAAACCATATAACTGGATTCGTCCGCTTTTGAAGGTTGAAAGATAGTGCCACAATGCAGCATGTGTCTCTTCGAGCTGAAACGCGTCTGGGTGAAAGTAATTTTCAAAATCAGTAACATACCCTGCCCACGTACCAATGGGTTCATATAGCACCAACAATGTTGGTTCATAAAATCCGTAAAGAAATTGCATGTCAAGGACATTGTTAATCTTTTCTCCAGTTGATGTGCTTAGACACGTCGTAAACGTGGCTAATAATGGTGCTGTCGCTCTTTGCTGCCACAAAAGCGAGTTTCTGACACTAATATGTTTTGGATCTGCTTCTGCGGACACTAAAACTTCTGTACGTCGGAAAGGTAAAACGGCGAGATGACGGTCGTATACTAGCATAACGGCACAACGTTGGTGTGGATCTAGCCTTAGAATAGGAAGCTTTGTAAAGTTCATTCGACCTGACTGTGAGAAAAACGAAGACTAATTTAGGATCATATAAGCAAAACCGAGATACAGATGGAAGTTGTATAAAAGTGAAGACGTGAAGATAAGAAAGCGAAGTCAAAATGAAAAACTGAAGTCGACTAAAGGGATATTGCCTTGCCAGGTAAACGACCATAAGAATAAACGTACTTAGAATGCCACGAAAATACAATAAATTGCTAACAAGAACCCGTATGTATTGAAAATCTAAAGCCAAAACAACGGAATAATATTTTTGACAGTAAAGCCGATGCAAGGGTGAACAAAATTACGTTAGAATGGAAACAAACTGATGAAATATGAAAGTAAAAAACGAGCGAAAAAATGTTTAAGTTGGACTATAACAGTGAGTTACTGTTTGGATTTCACTATTTATAAAGAATACAGACAACGGCAAGTAGTTCTAGTAAGACGATAATTAGTCTTTGAAGATAAATCGAATTCAGATATACCTACTACTCTCACATGGACAGGATGATATCAAGAAAATATCGCTTCAAAAATGCATATGATATAATGGCAAATTTGTCAATACTAGGATACGAGGGCTTGACTTAGGGCCAGTCTTAAATCTACTGAATAGATCTGATGTGTTGACAACCGTATAGCCTTGCATCAGTTAGTATAATCCTAGGAAAATTCACACTATAGGACAAATAGTGAGGTCTAGTTTCGTGTGTATTTGTAAACAGAACTACCATAGAGGTCTCTGTGAGAGTACAGATATGCAAAATACACAGCACGTGGGAATATGGCAACTTGGTAGTTAAATATGTCATAGTAAAGCAAAGCGAATTACATGTAGGAGTAAAAGTGTACTATATGCTACATGATCAATGTAAAGAAACTTCTCTGAATTTTCCTTAATGGGTAAACACTTATTATTCTGTGTGGTGAGATGGCAAATGTAGGTTTACAATAACGAAAAACCACTGTTTCAAAGCAAACCTAAAAGGTACGTAAGAACAAACTATGTTGAGAACCTACTAATACTATGTGGCCTTATTATGAGTATGTTTCATGAAACGAACAAAATTCTCGGCGTTACCCTGTTACGAACGTTAGTATTTACTTAATCAAAGACTGTTTACCGCTAATTTGACTCCTACTGCGCACCCAGCTGTGATGACTTTTAAAGTCCAGTTGCGACATTAGTTGAAGAAGCATAACAGTTATGTAAAATATCCACAAGACAAACACAATGCATGTCATTAATTATACCGAATAACAACAATCAAACCTTAAGGTTTTTCAAATTCGTAGTTGTGAAGGGATAAGGTCCTTAGTTCAAATGTGACAGGATTGAAGTTCATTACAGCGACCTGCGGGTTTAAAAAAAGAATAATGGAATTTTACCTTAGCTTCCGGGAAACTCAGAAGGAGTGAATCTAAAAGATCACCTGTGAAGCGTACAGTGACAATGTCAGCGATATTTTCGTATACGGATGTTCCGTATACCCAATTAAATCGCGTTTCCCCAGAAGCACTTGTAAATTAACTGGGAAGCTAATAAACTTACCTGGATTTAACATTATATATTTCAACGAATCCACCACGAGTAATGACAAGGTTTTTTAATTTAGGATGAATTAGGTGGCAATAAAGGCAATTATCCACAGCGGTTGGTGGTGAAATGTGTTTAAAAATTGCACTAAACGTTGTTGGTTTAGTTGTGTCAACCCCAGTGCTCATCTTCTGACTTTCTAAGAATGCGCTGATAAACAGCCTGACCTTCTCAGGCGAATTTCAACTCTCAATTGATTCAGATTTGTGCAACAATGACAGAAGGTCTACGGTCTCAAGATCATGGCTCACTGTCACCCCAAGATCATCATGAGACCGGACCACGGGAAATGGCACTTCCCCTACGTTGTACCTATTAACCTTTGAATTCCCAAAATGCATGTAGACACACTTTTCCGAGTTTATAGGCATCAGCCATCCTTTAGACCAGTTGATCATATTATTTAAGTCTGCCTGAGGAGCACATGCGTCTTTGTCTCCAGTTATTACTCGTCAGATCTTTACGTCGTCAGCGTATAATAACATTGGAAACTGTACTATACTTGGAAGATCATTAACATACATTATAAAAAGTAAAGGACATAAAATGGAACCTTGAGGTACTCCACTAAGTACTGGTTCCCAGATGAAGCACTTGGAATTTGTTCTTACTTTATGTCTATGGCCTACTAGGAAATCCTTAATCCATTTCAAAAGAGGTCCGGCAATACCAAGGTTTTCCAACTTCAATAGTAGTCTATTAGTTGGCACTGTAGCGGTAAATAAATCCCCAAAATAAATAGCACTAAGTTTTCGACATTGGATGCTGACCATATGTTTTAGTGGACTCATCTAGCTGAAGGCGCTCGGTCAGGCATCCGTACCAGATCACGTGTGGCAACGCCGTGCTCGACATCATCACCGGTGAGACCGACGTGATCTGGTACATCTAATTGCAACTGTGAGTCTGTTCCTTTTTGGGATTTTTATATATCATTGCCTTATTTTTTATTTTTTTTAAACATTGTGATTTTTTTCGTGTTTTTTCTTGGATATATATATATTTTCCCCTCGTTCATTATCGTACTTCATATTTCATCATGACTGAACAGACACCTAAAGTACTCAAGCTTAAGACCTTGTCCCCACCTTCGTTTCAACTGATGCCTTTCTGGCCCGACAACATCGAAGCCTGGTTTTGCTACGCAGAAGCCGACTTCTCCGAGCACGGCGTGATCGACACACGTGCACAATTCCTCGCAGTAGTCAAGGCACTACCGCGCGAATTCAACAGGTACGTAACACCTAGTATGTTTACTAGTGATGTTTCCGATCCTTACGAAATCTTAAAACGCTCGATTCTTAAACGAGGAGACCTAACCGATCGACAAAGGTTAGATCAACTCTTCAATAACATCGACCTGCAACACGGTTCTGCGACAGACATGTTGCAACGGATGAGAGAGGTTATAGGCCCAAGAACTTTCGACGAAGGTCTATTCAAACAACTCTTCTTGTCAAAACTTCCCCAACAGGTGCAAGCAGTTCTGGTCTCGTTCCAGAACAACGCCTTAGACGAACTAGCTGCATCTGCCGACCGCATTCTAGAAATTACGAAACCTACTACCGAGGTATTTTCAGTCAAAGAAAAGCCTCACACGACTCAGAATGACATAACCGACTTATGTCACACACTCACGCGTTATCTTAGTCTTCGTACCGACCGTAAGAGATCGCGCACACCACGTAGAAGCATTTCTCGTAAGCGATCTGTCTCTAGACCACGAGAGACAGATAACCCCGACTGGTGCTGGTATCATAACCAGTATGGAAAGTTTTCCAGAAATTGCAGAAAACCCTGCAATTTTCCCAACACGAAACCGACTGATTCGAAAAACAATTCGGGAAACTTCCAAGCCGGCACGCGTTAACGGCAACCGTAGCCGGCGAACAAAGCCGTCTGTTATTCGTCACAGATGTGACAACGAGAGTTCGCTACCTCGTCGACACTGGCGCAGAAGTTAGCGTTCTCCCAGCAAATCCTAACGACCGACTTCACGAATCGACCCTAAACTTACAGGCGGCAAACGGAAAACCGATCGCTACGTATGGCAAAAGGTACGTTTACCTTAACGTGGGTTTACGCAAACCCATCCACTGGATTTTCGTCGTTGCAGATGTTTCTATGCCAATCATTGGTATGGACCTTCTACAACACCACAATCTGATCATCGACACTCGCAAACGGAGGCTAGTAGACGGAAACACTAATTTGTCCGTTTGCGTAACTTCTTTTACTGGTTGTAGAGTATCCCCAGTCACAGTTAAACATATGATAGACCCACTCTATCAACCACTACTCGATAAGTACCCTGGGATACAACAAACTCAACCGAAACTACCGTGTGTAACCAGCAATGTTACACATCACATCACGACTACAGGACCACCTGTATTTTCTAAAGCACGACGACTAGCTCCTGAAAAGCTAAGGTTAGCGAAAAACGAATTCGATCACATGATGGACTTAGGAATCATACGACCGTCAAGTAGCCCATATGCATCTCCGTTGCACATGGTCCCTAAAAAGGACAGCAACGATTGGCGTCCAACTGGTGACTATCGGCGATTGAACGCGAAAACCATTCCCGATCGTTACCCGTTGCCTCACATTCACGATTTGACAGCTACCTTGAAAGGTACAACTGTCTTTTCGAAAATCGACTTGGTTAAAGCGTATAACCAAATCCCTATGGCTACTGACGACATACCGAAAACAGCTATCATAACTCCCTTCGGACTCTATGAATTTTTGCGAATGCCTTTCGGTCTAAGGAATGCTGCTCAAACATTCCAAAGATTCATAGACGACGTTTTTCGAGGTCTCAACTTCGTACACGCGTATGTTGACGACTGTCTAATCGCAAGTCCGGACAGAGAAACACATCTCAAGCATCTGGACCTTGTTTTCGAACGATTACAAAAACATGGCATAACTGTAAACGTTCAGAAATGCCAATTTGGAACCGACTCGTTAGACTTTCTGGGACACACTATCGATGCTCAAGGTATCCGACCCCTTAGAACCAAAGTGGCGGCCATTCTGGATTACCCAGAACCGACCACCGTCAAGCAATTACGCACGTTCAACGGCCTGGTAAGTTTCTATAGACGTTTCATACCGAAATGCGCATTACTTATGAAACCTCTGACCGACCAACTTCGTGGAAATGCGAAATCCATTAATTTGGACGACACCGCACGAAAAGCATTCTCCACAGTTAAGGAACTGATCGCTAAAGCAACAATGCTCGCACATCAGGACACCCGGCACCCATTAGCATCGCAGTAGACGCATCCGACTCGGCAATCGGAGGAGTCTTACAACAATGGGTTAACAACTCCTGGCAACCCTTGGCATTTTTCTCTAGAAGGTTGCTAGACACCGAATCGAGGTACAGCACATTCGGTAGGGAACTCCTAGCTATGTATTGTGCTGTACGGCATTTCCAACACTATATCGAAGGCCGTGAATTCACTCTTTTCACGGACCATAAACCGCTCACTTTCTCGTTAAGCTCTCCTTCTGACAAGTACTCTCCCCGTGAGTCTCGACAACTGGACTACATTTCGCAGTTTACTTCAGATATTCAACACATCTCTGGAGCAAACAATGTAGTTGCAGACGCCTTATCTCGCATAACTTCCTTGAACAGTTTCCAAGGAATCGACCTTCTTAAACTCGCCGAGCTTCAAAAAGAAGACAGTGATCTTCAGCACGAGTTATCGTCCACAACACTTAAACTACGCATCAAACAGATGGGAACAGGTAAGGAAACCTTACTTTGTGACACATCTACAGGTAGGGATCGCCCAATCGTGCCGAAACATTATCGACGCAATGTCTTCAACACATTGCACAAACTTTCTCATCCAGGTGTTCGTGCAACCATCAAGCTTATAGCAGAACGATTTTGCTGGCCTGGCATGAATAAAGACGTGAGGGAGTGGGCACGCTCCTGTGTAAGCTGCCAAAAATCTAAGGTTATCAGACACAATAAATGTCCCTTAGGCTCGTTTAAAACTCCCGATGCTCGTTTCGACCATGTTCATCTGGATTTGGTAGGACCTTTACCAGATTCAAATGGATACTCTTATCTCTTAACCTGCGTAGACCGTTTCACTCGATGGCCAGAAGCAGTACCTATCAAGGACATCACTGCTGAAACAGTGGCCCGCACATTCGTCGAACGATGGGTAGCAAACTTCGGTTGCCCTTCAACCATCACTACAGACCGCGGACGTCAGTTTGAATCTGATCTTTTCCGTCGTCTGACCACACTTTTAGGAATCACTCGCTTCCGAACGACCGCCTACCACCCACAAGCAAACGGGTTGGTAGAACGTTTTCACCGACAACTGAAAGCTTCGCTATCAGCTGCAAACGTTTCACAATGGACCGACGCTCTTCCACTCGTCTTACTAGGTATCCGCAATGCAGTGAAAGCTGACATTGGATACACTGCGGCTCAACTCGTTTATGGAACGACACTTCGACTTCCAGGAGAATTCGTGGATCCTTCGTGCTCTTCGATGAACATGGATCTAACCTCCTACACGAACAGGCTTACAAACGCAATGCGTTCAGTTAAACCTGCTTCCACTCGACCTCAATCAACTGATGTTTTCGTTCAACCTGACTTACGATATAGTACACACGTTTTCGTTCGTCGAGACTCGCATCGACGACCATTCGAATCAGCATACGAAGGACCTTTCAAAGTTCTTCAACGTGAATCTAAGTACTATATAGTCGATAAGAACGGAACCAACGATAGCATCAGCATCGATCGCTTAAAAGCAGCGTATTTAGAAGGAAATCCTATTCACGTCGATTTTCCTTCGGTACAATCGAACGACACGACTCTACTCATAATTCCTCAACCGACAACCAACACTGGCGATGATACTCCGAATGTATCTGAAAATAAACTTAAAACGACGCGTTCTGGAAGAAGAGTGAGATTTCCAGAACATTTAAACGACTACTGCACGTAAGGCACTACTCGACATTTTATATTATCTCGATTTTTTTTTTGATAATATATAATATTAAAAAAAACAATTTTAATATGCTTATATATTTATATTTTTATTAAAAAAACAAAACAAAACAAAAAACATTTTTT